TTTGAAGCTATAATTAGATTTTCCTGAACTAATAGTGCCACTACCACATATGAGCTACATGAGATCTTGAGGTACCAGGTCTTGAGGGTGTTACCAAGCAGTTCATCTGCAAAAAAGCAGCTATTTTTAGTATGTATAATGAAAGAAAATCAGCAATATTTCCAGCTGTTTTGCCAAATACCGTCAGTGCTAAACTCTTCAAGTTAGACTTAAAATGGTCTAGGGATCACTTGACTCTGAATTATGTCTGAAAACAATCACAGACACAGGTAATGAAAACATATTTTATAAAAAGCTTAACTACTGGTGTTAGAAAATATCCTATGCTTATCTCAAATGGACTTTTTCAGCAAATAGGGTCCAACCTTAAGATGTACTGGTGAAAAAGTCCTGCAGAATTTTATTTGTAGTTTACCTAAAGTAGACTAAAATACCTAAGTATAATGTTGACAAGATTCAAAAAACAAATCATATGGACACAGAAACAATGGATATGCTTATGAAACCACTTCAGACTGGACTCTAACCAAAACTGATTCAATGCACTAATTATGATATAATCAAGTGTTTTCAAACTCAGTCTGAGCAATTACCATTTCAAAGCCCAGAGGAACAGAAGGGATGTGAATGTTTCAATTGCTAACTGCCCTAACCATTTCTTTTACTCAGTGAATCTCAGATCCTATGCAGTTCAGGAAGACAATGAGGTATGGGTATTGCTTGGGAGAAATGATGTGCCTCTAAATTAAAATTATGAATACCTGAGAGATGAAGCGGACTATACAATTTTACCTAAACCAGAAAAAGCATTTCCCTACAAAGCCACGTACCTAGGAATTACTGCTTTTAATAAGCTGATAGCCAATCATCTATGTACCACAAGTGGAATAAAGTGCACTTACAAGCAGCAGCAACTAGGAAGAAGTGTGCAGTAAGCAACCCTCATTAACAAAAGTTAATTAAATTGACCATGAAGGATCACAAAAATAACTCAGCTATTATATCAGGTATTATGACCTCAGTGAGGATTTTACTATTTTCCAAAGCATTCTGCCCCATCTAGCATGACATGAAAAAGAACATTCTTCCCAACTTACTGTTAATGGAAGGAAAGAGGAAAGGTAAATAAAAACAAACAAACAAACAAACAAGAAAACATTCTGTTTCCTCTCTGTTAAAGTACTCTGTTGATTCTCAGTTGCTAATAAGAACACTCCCACATCAGTGAGCCTCTGCCTCACTTTGGGAATTGTCTTTGGCCAATTAAGAGGCTTTGGGAATAACAATATGCCTTAAGAGCAAACAGCACATCATCTAATATAATAATAATTTAAATGAATATGCAATAAACAATTCCAATGGGCAATACACAGGATCAACCAACATTCTCATGATCAATCAATGCTTGGCTTATCCCACTATCATTTATGACAACACCAAATCAGACAGATTATAGCCACAGGTTAAAGTGTACAATCTGCATGGTTTAAGATATTTTTCCTTTAGTTAATTTTATTATATTGGAGTTCTCAAAGATACCTTATTAATAGCAATTTCTCATAGTGTAAATAGCAGGAAGTATGATAAACTTGATTATACAAGCTTCTGCTTAGATGACAACTTGATCTACATAGGTAATGTAGATGTTTGAAGTAATCAATCTCAATGAATCCCCAGATGATACATAAGATAGCAATACACTTCCTCAAAAAGCATCCTGGACCCAGACTTCTCCTACAAATACAGAGATGCCCTCAAAGACCTGGTCTTTATGATCTTCTTAGCGATCCAACAAAGCATATCAGATCAGTAAAAAAAAAAAAAAAAAGAAAAAAAAAGTTGCTTTCTAGCTCTTGCATCACAGTTAACTCACAGAGGACATGCTGAAATGATACAATTAAGAATTAACTGGCCTTTTACAGTTTGGCTTCTGTTGACTGTCACTGACCGTACAAACCAACTATCTACTTCCACTTCAATGTTACTTATTCTTTCCTTTGTTGTAACTGGATTTAGAGCACAGGCAGCTAGCTATTTAATGTATCGTCAGTAAATTATTTCAGATGTTGACCTCTTCTTGACATTCACCAAATTGGAATGGTATTATCTTAGTTGGAATGGCAAAACTTCACTTTTTTTCAGAAGATATAAAACAAGTTCACTTTTCAGGAGCACACAAAACACAAGCATTGAACTTCCAGCCCCACTTTACCTGTTCTGCACCATGCTCATTGCTATCCAGTCTGAAGGGTAAACATTTTTTCCAATGAGATCTTTGAACATTATGAATGTTTCCATCAAGAAGTCCTAGAACAGCAAAATACAGTAAATAAACTTTGTGTTACACAGTCACATAAGTGTTCCTCCTGCAATTAAAGAACAAAGAGGAAGGGCTCCACTCTGCTCCTAGTGAAGTTAATGGAAAAAAATCCCGCTGATACCAGTAAACCCAGGGTTGGAACTGAAGTTCTGCAAAAGAGCAGCCCCAGAATCAAAATGAAGGAAGTTGTTACATTGGGCTCTTAAGAAAAGATATGCCATAAATGAATGGAAATAAAAAGTTTTAGTACTATATATAGTATATAGGAAAGCTGCTGAATTGCATATTATTTAGCCAGTCTCATAATGCATAACAAATTAACAGATCTGAAAAACAATACAGTTTTCTACTTAGTCGATTTAGTCTAATTTTAGTATTTTAAATAAAAAATTTAAGGCACAGACAGAAAATTCTCCAAAAATATATATTTTTCCAACAACTATTTAGAGATTCTGGTATACTGAACAAAAATAAAATGAACATCATAATTCAAGCTCTATTTCATGTATAGTGCATATATGCAGTTTTACCCCTGAATTTCTGAGCAAGTCGGGTAAAAATCTGAAGCTAGCAAGATGAAATGTCATCATCTACATGTATTACCAAAACCTCACAAGCAGTTCTCTGCAACATTTGTACTTTGTCAAATTACTTAGAGAAAAAAGCGAACAATAGCTTTCAACACCATGGTTTGAAAAACAGTCGTTATCTTCACTGACATACTTATGCTCAAGAAGACAACAAATTGATGCCTTTATAAATGGAGAAAAAAAAGTTTTTTTTTTTTTTTTTTTAAATGTGCTCTTCAGATCTGTTCAAGCAGATGAAGTATTACTACACCTGATAGTCTTCATTAGAATTTCTAGATATTATCTAGGACCAAGTACCTCAAGTACGTAAACTGATTGGAAGCTGAAGTTATTTTAAAATACTCCTACGTTTTCAGGTAAATTCAGGCACATGAAGAATTGCAAAATTTAGCCATGATTTGATCTGCTAGAATTTCAGTTATGGCACAACACTGACTATAACAAAGAAAGGAAAGCAGACAAATCTTGCCAACTGAACGTATTACTTCCACAGAGAACCCATAGATCGTGTAAACAAAACCTTAGCCAATACCTGAACTTATTTTGGACTTATGTCAGGAGTATAAATTAAGGGAAAAAGGTCTCATGAAACCAGTGACCAATGGTACAAAACAGAAATGCACACCAAATATCATTAATTTATGCCAGGAACTGATATAAAAAGTTGCATTTAATTGCATTTAGCACACAACATTATCTTGACCAACAGTGGAACTGGATCACGATGTGCAGAATGTGGATGAAGGGTTGGAATAGTCAGGGATTGCTTTGCTGCTGTTTTTTGGTGGTGGTGGTGGTATGTTTTTTTGTTGTTGTTTCTCCTCGAAACAGAGTGAAACAAAGATCCCATTACTTAATGCTTGATTATTAAATTACTTCCTAAGTGCTATGGACAACAATAGTGACATTTATATCTTTCCAAATTTCTGATCTTAGTATTGTACAAAGACACCATTAGAAGAGGGAGGCAATAAAATGATGGAGAGGCAGAAAATGTACATAAATGGACTTCATGCTAAGAAGAATCAGGCAAGATAGTTCAAAACAACACTTTATTTTTCATAGCTAATAAAATACTTCTAATCATTTATCATCTATGTGTTTGTTTTGTACTCACCACTAGCTCTGAACTTGTCTGAAAAGTTTCAATGTAAACTGAGTAATGCTGGTTGTTCATCTGGTTTAAGATTGCTGTCATGCATGCAACAAAATGACTCTGAAAGAAAACGAGAAAAAATCAGTTGAAACATAACACACATCTAGATTAATTTAGATATTGGATTGTATTCTTTCTAAATCAGACCTATTCCAAATGCCTAATAATTATTTTTAAAGGATATTAAAATAATATCAAATGACAACTTTCACAAGCCCATATGCGAAACATAGTAAGAACTCAGAGAGGGTAATTCAAAAGCTACCCTGGCAATAGGCTCTGGAGAAAAAATCTGCACCATTTATGAAAAGCACATGGAAGCACACAATCTGCAACCAGAAAACTTTATATATAAAATACAACTCAGTCTTACTATAAGACTCTTAAAAGGAAAGTGATATTTCCTAGGATTCATTATGAATTCATAGGAAGAAAAAATATATATGATCAAAACTTTCTAATCATCCTAGAAACAAAGGCTATGGTATTTTACAGGAAGAAATAGTGCAAGAAAGGATATATTTTACAGATGTTTAAGTAACTACTACAGAACTCTAAAGCTTCTATAAAATACTATTATTTTCATCTCTCAAAACTCCAAACTTCCTCAAAAGAAAATACTTTTTTTCTAAATTCCTTAAGATGAAGTGTTGCAAAATATAAAATTATCTATAAGCCTAGGTTTTCACTGCCTTTGACTGAGATTCAGAAAGATATTCCTCATCTCTCAGTAGTAGCAAGCTTAACTATTGTTAGTACACCTGTAAGACAGAAAAGAATCCTCCTTATTGATGCATTCTAATTGTCTGAATTCTTGTTTTAAATTGAACCTGCCTTCACTCTATTAAAAGAAGAGATTATGAAGGAGATGATACAAAATAATTTTCTAGCTTGATTTGAACCTTTTCATCATGCTTGTTTAGGATAGCTAGAGGTGACTCCCCAGTCCCTCTGACCAGAAGATTATTTCCCCTTGTTACTAATCAGATTCTCAGTTTAACTCAGATTCACTTTACACTTTTGTTACACCAGAAAGGCAACACAGACACACATTACCAAAGTATCAGCTGCAGTTTGCCATCCCCGACCATTTTGTCTACCACTTAAAGGGAAGCCTTCTTTAACTTCAGGTTGTGGCCACTAGAGGTCTTTCAGTTTCATATGTTAGCTGCTGTTCAGTTTGTACTGCCTTTTTATTTTTTTTATTTATTCCTACGTGAGCAGACCCAGTACACTTCTGGCATACAAACAGTGAAAATTACAATATAAAGGACCTATTATACCTTCTTTTGGAGTGACACTAGTGCTAGTAACAGGCTTGTCTACTTTGTAAGACTAGGAAGACACATTTTCTGCGGGTAAAGCCAAAGATTTCAGGTAAGGTATCATGTGTTCTCGGGTAATGATGCTTTTTTAAAAAGAAATGCTGATATTCCTGCTGTAGTAGTTCACTTTTACAGTTATGGGTTAGAAAAGTGTTTTCTGTGATGTTAAATGTGAAGCTGGAAGTAATAATGAATGAATTTCAAATGATTCAATATTGAAACTGTGTTTTTCCTTCCGATGCCTTGATTTTGAAAAAAATTACTGACAGAAGTTAGAGAATATTATACATGAAAAACAGCTTGTATTTTTAGTAGTTAAACATATGCCAGAAAATGCCTTTCTGCACTAATATTAAATAATCACTTCTTGAAATAAGTAGCATTTCTTTGCAAGCTTTAAATAGACCTTTTATGTTGCTTAAAGGCATAAAGACTTGAAGAAGGTTTTCTTTGTTGTTGTTGAAACCAACTTCTAAAATGTGTCTAGCTATATCTGTTCTTATTATATTGTCATTTAAAAATTGTATTGTCATTTTAAAATTACCACATGATTGATTGATTACTGAAAAGAGCCATAAACAAAGATCACATATGCCACCTTGCAACAAAACTATCAAATTCATATTAGTGTGACTGAATGATAAGTAGATAAATAAAGGTGTCAGTAAAGCTGGTGTGCTAAAAAAACTTCCTCCATCATTTCCATGCAGCTGTTAAGCAGGGAAATGCACCAATACCAATTTATATCTAATAATTTTCTTGTCTGCAATCTCAACTATTAGAAATTAACTGCTAGCTCCTTCATAGGTTAAAAGCTTGCCCCTCCCCTCCTAATCCCCAAACACCAGCAATAAACATTCACTTCTCAAATGCAGCCTCAGATCATTCAAGTACCCATGCTGTCTCAGCATCACCATTATCACTGCTAGAACTTCAGTGTCATTTAGGACTGGGGAGAGCTGTGATCAAATCTGCAAATCTCTATGTATTCATTTAAATTCTCCCATGCTGTTTAATTCTCCTACTAGAATATGCAAAGAACATGAACTGCTTGAAAATACAGTAAGTTCTGCACAAGAACTACTTATTACACTTTGAATGCGGGCTGCATGCTCACTAGACAGACAGAGGAAATTCAGAACCAAGCACTACCTACAAATACAATAGTCTAATGCTTAGGATTCAAAAAAGTATTTCATTTAATCAAGCATTGTGTATAGTGATTGAATAGTATGAAAAAGGTTGCAGCAAACAAGATGAACTTCAAGTAGAACCCCAACAAGTCATTTCAGCTGTGTTGAGGATTTATCTCATGAATTAGAGCAGAGAGGCTGATTAAAACTAGGTCATATGTATATATATATATATATATATATATATATAAAGTATCTAAGTAAACATTCAACTGATGAGAGAATACTCACAGAAAAATTATCAGATATAACTTTGGAATACATTGGATCCATTCAAAGAGATGCAACAAAATGTATGCTTTCCAATTTTAAAACCTTCACACATATTTAAATACAAAAGAATCCAGGAACAGAAGCAGCACTGAATTATACTTTTTGAATTAACTGATTTGCTGAAATTCTTTCAAAACTTGGGTAAGGAACAAACAAAATAGATGGTACGAACACTACAATTCTATCAGGACCAGAAGCACAGAGAAAGTCAAATGAAAATGAAACAGAAGGAAGTGTCACAGAAACTATTCAAACTCCCCATCCATTTAAAAAAAAGAAAAAAAAAAAGCCAACCACATAATTTATATAAAATTTTAATGAACTATAATGCTGGCTTCCTTTAGTATAAGCATTGCAAAATATTGGCTAAAGCAAAAAGAAAAAAAAAACATCTGTTATTCAAGTGCACATTAGCTGTGGATGCAACATATACAGGAAAAGAAGCAACTGAAAAATATTAGGGTCATATGGGTAAGACAACAAACTTCAACACCTAGCAACTAAATCCCAGCATACTTTATAATAGTAAATGGTGACAGGTTGCTGTAGTAACTTCAAATAATACCAGCACCACAAGAATAAATAAAGCAAATGCACTGGAAAACCAAACAGCAACAGAAATAATGTAGACTGAAGCTACACTTCAGTACTCATATGGTAGAAACATTTCAATGGCTGTTCTTTGAATAATTTTCATGCAGCAGTACTTCTGGAATGACTAAGAAGGATATTTATTTCATATAGTTACTTAAATAACATTTATTCTCATTAACAGAAAGCTTTACCAACACAGAGCCATAGTGTAAATATGTAACACTACGTACATCATTACAAAGGAAACAAAATGCAAACATCAATAATTTCTAATAATTCAAGCACTTCTGATGGCCAAAAACATTGTAATTATATTTAAATCCCCCTTTTTAACACAAAGACAGATGTTCTAAATTCCCATTTAGCTTGTTCTACTGTTTTCTTTACATTCATATGCTCTAGCCAGAAGCATATGCAACTATGTAAGTTAGTAGGTTACCAGACTGAAAAACACAGGCCAATTTTGTAACTCAATGAAATCATAATAGCAGCTGCTGTATAAGATTTAAAGATAATCTGCAAGCCAGACAATCAAGGCAATTTCAAAATTATTTCATTTAAGACTTTCTTAAACATAGAAAAAAGCAGTAAGACAAAGTTTTATGGTATGACATACAAGCAGCATGATGTTTTTCAGAATGTTTGGTGCCTTTTCTTTTTTTTTTTTTTAATAAAATAGAACAAACCTTTATGTTCTTTTCCCAACAATATTAAAAATTAAATTCTCTACAGTGTTTTTACTGCTGCTGAATTTTGTTGCCACAAATCCATCCCAGAATTTCTACAGTCCATGGCTAGGATGAAGACTGTAAATGACTGAATCTTTTCATACATCTGTGCTCGAACACAGTTGTGCAATTTCCTACTTTTCCCAGAACATAACATTGTGTTTACCTTTGAGGTGTACATGCAAATAAATCATCAATAATATTATTTGGTACAGAGTGAGAAGTCAATTATTTCTAATGGACAATCATTCCATGAAAACTGTACTAGCTTTTGCAGAACACAAGGTACTAATAACATCCGCTATTTCACCTTCTTGCTTAAGCACTACTGTCCGCACTCCTAATCTCAGCTCCGCTGCATCAGGTAAAATCTTTCAACCTTACCTTCAGGGATCTATGCAGCTTCATGCTGCATGTATTTCCTTCCCTTCTGCTACCTGCTAATTCCTCTATCACAATTACTTCTAGCTAGTTTTCAGATTGCTCTTGCAGGCCAGAGAAACCTTCCTACTCTGGTACGTAAGATATCCACTGACAATCCTGAAATTTCCTGTGCTGTCAACACTGCTAATTTCACTAATTTATTATTCTAAGTGCTATTCTATTTCCTTGATTCCATTACTCCAGATGGTCAGTCAAGTTGGCAAAACATGGCTTGTCCTGCCAACCGTCCCAGTGCACTCATTCCCATGGTAAAGAGGATGCAGTCAGCATTCCACAGAAACATCTAAAGCATAGAGAGTAAGATTAAAAATATGATGCTTCCCCCCCAGTCATAACTTATTTATTTATTGTACTAAAGTTTGGACACTCTCTTGCAGGTGAAAGCTCTGTAAACTGATATGGGAACGTTAAGGAAGTAAACCAATGGCTGGGATGAACAGGAGTTAGTCCCCTGATATAATACTTAACAGCAGGAAAAAAAAAAATAATTGCCAGGTATATAGGACTACAAAACAAAACATACTGACTACAGTAGAGATTGACAACTGTGTCTAAAAGAAATGGCTTGAATTCAGCAATCTATGTACATATCCTGTACATATATATAAAGTTAGAGTGTGTTAGCTTCTTTTATTTCTAAGGTGTATATTTTAAATCTACACATATCGGGAAGACGCACGTCTTAACTGCTGATTCACATCTTTAAAACAAAATAGAGCCACCTCCTCTATTCCCAGAACTCAGTCACCCTTTAATTGATTTTGTTCCTTTTCAGCTGCACTTACTGAAGACAAGAACAGAAAAATTAAATTAAAAACTCAAACGCACAATCACAGATGAGTCTAATATAATACATTTCTGGATTGTCAAAACAAAGCTTTATCACAGAAGTTACACACAGAGCTTCAGAAACTTTCCTCTTGTTTAGAATTTGTTTTACAGAGAAAATCCAGCTCAATAAAAAAATTCTGCAACAACCCTCATCCATTAAACTTACAAATCTATCAGGGCCATACGTTTAAGATTAATAAATAGCAAATATCTGAGAAATCCACCAATACATATTTGTGTGATTTATATAAGATTTTTTAACCACCTCTATTTAAGCAACAACACAGCTGCAATTGAGCTTTCAAAACACAATGGGTTTTGTCAAAAGGCCATGAAAATCTCACCAATCCTGAAGACATTAATGGAAAAATCCTTAAGTCTGTTTAGCACCATACATGCCCTTTGAAGAATATTTTTTTATTTTATCAAGGTACATGCAAACCAGTAATTAAGCATTTGCAGACACCAATATTCAGCCATCTCTTAGGCTGAGATTAAAACCAGCAACCTTGCCTGGCTGGATAACCCTTTTTCTAGGTCAGAGTCTGCCTTTGTAATGTCTAGTACTATTATTTATTTACACAGCGCTAAGCCATCCAATAAGATCCAAGTCACTGAGAAATTTAAATTAATTCTAAAATATATTTTTTCCTTTTTTTTTTTTCTTTTCTTTCTTTTTTTTTTTTTTTTTTTTTTTTTTAGCAGCTGAAACACTCAGATAAACTCAGACTGTTTTTTGTGAGGAGCCTGGTACTTGTTTCTGATATTTTAAATGCACACTAATGCAAAAGTGATTTTAATTTGGCAGCTGGCAGCACCAATTGTAATTTATCTCTTTCCAAATTATGAACATTGCATTGGTACTCTGGTAACTGGTTTAATTTTGTTAAATGAATAATAAAACTAGATTAGAAATTGAAAGTTATAATACTATTTACAGTTTAATTTAAATAAGAAACATTTGTCTTTATCTCCATATTTAAACTCAT